CACAGCTGAATAAAATCCCACATTATCTGCTTTGAACTGGAATATATGATAGTGTGGGCTCAGATAACTCAGTTCAAAACAGATATTGTGGGATTTCCTGCCTTGGTTATAGGGCTGTGTGGAAGGGTCCGGAGCATTTTCATTATAAAATATTAGCTGATTCCAAATGGAAAAAGGTATTACATGGGGCAGAAGGGGGAAAAGCAAAGTCAAAAGGCATATTGAATATAGTCAAAAGAAAACATCAGAAAACTTATACATTTAATGAATAGTTTTGAAATTTATTTGGTTTCTCAATAGAACAACACTGCTGAAACTTTTATAAAGGAACAATGCAAAAATTCTGTCAAGAGCTATATTCCCATAATAGTTGAAAGTGTGACATGCTGGTAGCAGCAGAACTCATGCCAAAAAGTGGACAGAGCTATCATATCTTTCTTCTTTTATTTCTCTTTCTGACAACCTTCTCTCTCTCCTGCACTCTCTCTCTCTCTCCTGCTCTCTCTCTCTCTCTCTCTCTCTCTCTGTTACCCACTTCTGTCTCTCATATTTACTTTTTCACTTTTGCTATCTTTCAACCACTCATAACTTCCCATAACTGTGTGTTCAGAAAAGGACAATGAGAGCACTGTGCACATTTTTTTTCCTTTCCTTTCCTCTCTTTTGTGTTGCTCTTCATCTTTTCGTTTCCTGAGCAAAGGATGTACACAAAGGATGTGTGCACAACTAATGCACACGGCCCATGGAATTTAACAGTTCACTCACTATGTATAACTGGTTGACTGGCCAAAGATATAGATAATATGAAGGGCTACAGTGGTGCAATGGGTTAAACCCTTGTACTGCTGAACAGTTGACCTTCAGATGGGCAGTTTGAATCCATGGGACGCTGTGATAACGTCCTGTGGAGAAATGGAGCCCCTAACTGTAGGAAAATATATACTCTATGAAATGGCACAGATTAGAACTTTCTCATATAGTTTTTCCCCCTTTGAGGGTGAAGTTATGAACTAAAGTGTATAGAAGGTTAAAAACCTACATTTTGCAAACTTTCATCTCATAACCTCTAATACCATGATTCCTTTTTCATTAACTGCCCTACAGTTTCGTTTGATGACCAACATTGACCTCTGCTTATCATGGCTGTGAACGTCAGGAGAATCCACTGATAAGCAAATACTGAATCATGTACCCAGAAGCAAGGAAGGTCTCCAAATTGCAACAAAAATATTATCTACCTTTTGCCTTCATACCAAGCAATTTACTCAAGGGTTAGTCACACACCACATTCCCCCTCTCTGACTTTGTGCAGAGTTCTTGTCATTCTTTGTTGTCAGACTTCTCTTCTCACTCAATTATCTTTGAATGTTAACGGCTAAATATTGTCACAGAATGTGCAAAGCTGTGGCCAGGAAGTGGGTGCAATACAGCCTTCCCCACAAACACAGTGGGCACTTGGCACATTTAACTCCAAATTAGAATTCTAAGGTCTGCAAGATTAAAAGACTAAAATTTACTCCTGTGATACAATATAAGGTAAAGGTAAAGGTTTTCCCCTGACATTAAATCCAGTCATGTCTGACTCTGAAAGTTGGTGCTCATCTCCATTTCTAACCCGAAGAGCCGGCATTGTCCGTAAACACCACCAAGGTCATGTGGCCAGCATGACTGCATGGAGCGCCGTTACCTTCCCTCTGGAGTGGTATTATTTATTTATTTATTTACTATACCTTTCTCAGCCTTATTGGCGACTCAAGGCAGTTTCTATTGATCTACTCACATTTGCATGTTTTCGAACTGCTAGGTTGGCAGAAACTGGGGCTAATAGTGGGAACTCATGCTGTTCCCCGGATTCAAACCTGTGACCTTTTCAGTTAGGAAGTTCAGCAGCTCAGCGCTTTTACCCACTGCACCACTGGGGGTGATATAATATACACAGAACTATACACATTGTTTGGAAATGGGGTAAATCTATCAGAAATACTGTAATCAAAACTATGGCTACAAAGCAGCAATACCTTTACTTTTTTTGGTTACCTTAACCATCAAATCCTCCTTTAACTTTCAAACCCATGATTACTTACTTACTTAGGCGATCCCTCGTTGTCCGAGGATGATGGTCCTCCAAGTTCGGTGTGCTGGGGGTGGGTTCGTAGGTGGCTGTGGAGCCCTATTCTTGATCTGCATGTTCTCCCACAGTGAGGGCATTGGTTTCCAGGTGGAAGGCAGTCGGTGTTGGCTTGACATGTGCCTTCCTCTTGGCACATTTCTCTTTTTCACCCTCCATTCACGCCTCTTCAAATTCTGCAGCACTGCTGGTCACAGCTGACCTCCAGCTGGAGCGCTCAAGGGCCAGGGCTTCCCAGTTCTCAGTGTCTATGCCAGAGTTTTTAAGGTTGGCTTTGAGCCCATCTTTAAATCTATTTTCCTGCCACCAACATTCCATTTTCTGGTCTTGAGTTCGGAGTAGAGCAATTGCTTTGGGACACGGTGGTCAGGCATCCGGACAATGTGGCCAGTCCATCGGAGTTGATGGCGGAGAACCATTGCTTCGATGTTGGTGGTCTTTGCTTCTTCCAGCATGCTGATGCTTGTCCGCCTGTCTTCCCAAGAGATTTGCAGGATTTTCAAGAGGCAGCGCTGATGGAATCGTTCCAGGAGTTGCATGTGACGCCTGTAGATAGTCCACGTCTCCAAGGCATATAGCAGGGTTGGGAGGACAATAGCTTTATAGACAAGCACCTTGGTATCCCTACAGATGTCCCAGTCCTCAAACACTCTCTGCTTCATTCAGAAAAATGCTGCACTCACAGAGCTCAGGCGGTGTTGTATTTCGGTGTCGATGTTGACTTTGGTGGAGAGGTGGCTGCCAAGGTAACGGAAATGATTAACATTTTCTAAGGAAACTTCTTTACTGTCAACCTACAATCTGCAGCAGCCATGCAGGAGATATTATTTCTAATTCCATCCCCCCTCAACCTCCTATTCCCAACTATTGATAGTTGAAACCCATAAGTAGTTCCCAGAGTATGACTCACTTGAGATAACCACTTATTAATAGCAAGCTATGCACCCGGTGTTGTCTGGATATGCATTTTATAATGCTAATTATTAAAAATACTCATTATAATGTTATGATTGCTAAGCTTACAAGCTTGAATGTATTTTTCAGGTTTTCTTACTATTTAGTAATGGTAAAGGTTTACCCTTGACATTAAGTCTAATCGTGTCCAGCTCTGGGGGGTGGTGCTTATCTCCATTTCTAAGCTGAAGAGCCGGTGTTGTCCGTAGATGTCTCCTAGGTCATGTGGCTGGCATGACTGCATGGAGTGCCATTACCTTCCCGCCGGAGCGGTATCTATTGATCTACTCACACTTGCATGTTTCCGAACTGCTAGATTGGCAGAAGCTGGGCCTAACAGTGGGAGCTCACTTTGTTCCCCGGATTCAAACTGCTGACCTTACAGTCAGCAAGTTCAGCAGCTCAGCGGTTTAACCAGCTGTTCCACTGTGGGCTTCTTTCTTACTATTTACATTAACTATTTGCATGTAGTTAATTAGTAAAACTATGTTTTCACTCTAATGTGATTTCATAATAAAAAAAGACATTGCATAGTAAGTTTAATTAATTGATATTAATTGAAAAATTCCTTTTTATACTATGGTTTATTTGCACAATAGTTGTTTAATTAATTATATCTTTACTTGAAAAGTGAGACACTGAAGTTCGGCCTGAAGAGATTTTGCCTATTTAAATGTTGGCCTCTTACTATTTCCAAGTTAACTGGAGCCCCTGGCAGCACAATGAGTTAAACCCTTGTGCTGACTGAACTGCTGACCAAAAAGTCAGTGGTTCAAATCCAGGGAGTGGGGTGAGCTCCCATGTGTCAGCTCCAGCTTCCCATGTTGGGACATGAGAGAAGCCTCCCACAGGATGGTAAAACATCCAGGCATTCCCTGGGCAATGTCCTTGCAGACAGCCAATTGTCCGTAGACACCTCCAAGGTCATGTGGCCAGCATGACTGCATGCAGCACTGTTATCTTCCTGCAAGAACAGTTCCTGTTGATCTATTCACATTTGCATGTTTTCAAACTGCTAGGTTGGTAGAAGCTGGACCTAACAGCGGGAGCTCACCCCGCTCCCTGGATTCTAACCGCCAACCTTTCATTCAGCAGCAGCTCAGCGGTTTAACCCGCTGCACCACCAGGGGGCCCTGTGTAGAGATGCCGAAATCTTACATCCCAAATGTAGTTACAGAAGCAATAGGTTAAAGCCTTGTGCCGGCTGAACTTGATGACCAAAAGGTCAGTGGTTTGAATCCAAGGAGAGGGATGAGCTCCTTTCTGTCAGCTCCAGCTTCCCTTGTTGGGATATGAAGCCTCCCACAGGATGGTAAAACATCTGGGCGTCCCCTGGGTAACGTCCTTTGAGGCAGCCAACTCTCTCACACCAGAAGTGACTTGCAGTTTCTCAAGTTACTCCTGACATGGGAAATAAAATTGCCTGGTGTAGACCCATGTAGTTCCATGCCGTTAAACTGCATAATACAGAAGTAATAGCTTAGTTGTGTTAATGCTACTGCTGGTTCTTATCAGTTGTTAATTTTATCACAGCTACGTTTCATAATCTGAAAAACTACAGTGCCTTGTATATTGTGAAATTGTTAGTTGGATTGTAGAAATGGGTGAGTGTAGTCTGGAAAACAGGGGGTTATACATTTTTTGAAATAACTAAATGAACAATTCTGTGGGTTTAAAACATTGTATTCAAAGAGGTTGTTTAGATGAGACTTTGCATAATTGAATGCATGAGAGGCATCAAGTGAGAGCATGGCACTAAAATAGCAACCTAAGTTCAACATGTGATTGCTCATTTTACCTTCCCAAGCAGGCTTCACCCCCTTTCCATGGGACAGCAGCTGCAGCTAAAAATAGAGCATGACTGGGCAGAGGAAGGAAAACTCTGAATACATCCTGAAGACCAGAAAGAGTTCGGAGGCAGCCATGCACTCCTTGCGGTTCAGGAGTGCCGAGGTCTTGGTGACGAATGCACAGGTTGTCAAAGAGAACCTGGGCAGCCTTGCACACAATCTTTTCCCTCTCCTTTTTAAAGCTAGTTACTTGCAGGAGCAGGGCGAAGTGATTCATGACCTGGTGCAAAACTGGCCGCTGCCCGAACTTAATCTTGGGAGGCTGTTGGGAAAGACGACAGACCACCAGGAAGACATCACCAACAGAGCCTGCTCGGTGTGCCTGGCTAGCTGTCTAACTGGCCTGAGAGACTATGTGTTGAATTGTTCATCTCTGTACGCAAAGAGACTCAAAAGGGTAGACTTAACAGGCATACAAGATGTTGAAGTTCAGCTTTGCAGCTGTAGGAAGACAATGGGACGATGGGCCAGGACAGAGCTCCTCTCCAAAATCTGCTATGACTTGCTTGTTGACATGGGCAGGCTGTCGCTCGGTCCAGAGGTGTTTGAGATTTCTGTTGATGTCTTCATGGACATCTTTGTTACAGAGCGAAGCTATGACCTGGTGGTCCAGACCTTGCTCATGAGGTGCCACTGCCCCCTGAAAATCCGTTGCGCAGCAGTCAGAGTGGACAACCTCGCCCTCAGGAAGCTCTTCTACCTTGTAAAGCTTACAGAGCCCGCTTCGCTGGGCAGGTTCGAAGTCATCCACAATGTTCGGATGGAAATGGAACATTTCCTGGTGCTGCTGAACAATGTCCAGTTTCCTCAGTTGACTTCTCTAACGCTCCCAGCAAGGACCTTTGATGTGAGAAAGTTCACAACGGAGGATGAAGCCACTCTGGCAAGAGTCGGAGATAAGCTGAGCCAGATGACTCGGCTGACTGAGCTGAGCCTCGCATTTTCCACCCTCACAGGAAGGATTCGTAAACTGCTCAGGTAATACCTTCTAGGATTAGGTAGTCCTTTCTGGTGAAGTAAGTTGCCATCTACCAGGAAAATGGGAGGTCGTACATGAGGAACAGTAGCTGATGTTGGGAAGAAGCCAGAGATAACAGAACAATATATCCTTATATGAGGGTTGAATGAAAAGTAATGCCTCCACCTTTGTAACTCTTCAACAGATGGCAGTACTGGTATGCGACAGGTACTGACTTGTTCAGTAGACTCTCCCCTACAGTTTCACTTTGGCAGGAAGCCTTAGCATTAAATGGTTGTGTTGTTAAAGTGCAAAGTATGGAACCCTGCGCAGTCAGTCGGTCAATGCGACTTAAGCAACATGCAGTCATTGAATTCTTGACAGCAGAAGGTGTCATCCCAAAGGAGATTCATCAGAGAATGCAAGCTGTTTATGGTGATTGTGTTGATGTGAGTACTGTGCGTTGTTGGGAGAGTAAGTTTAAATATTGTTGAGGTGACACCTTCTGCTGTCAAGAATTCAATGACTGCACGTGCTTAAGTCTGCGCAGGGTTCCATACTTCACACTTTGACAACACAACCTTTCAATGCTAAGGCTTCCCGCCAAAATGGAACTGTAGAGGAGAGTCTACTGAACAAGCCAGTACCTGCCACATACCAGTACTGCCATCTGTTGAGGAGTTACGAAGGTGGAGGCATTACTTTTTATTCAACCCTCATATTCCTATATTGCATAAGTTTATTGGACCACTTTACTTAGTAATATGTGCTCTGATTGGCAATGAGTATCTTTGGTCATCCTGGTCAATTTTTTTGTGTATCAGGAGCGACTTGAGAAACTGCAAGTTGCTTCTGGTGTGAAAGAATTGGCCGTCTGCAAGGACGTTGCTCAGGGGACGCCTGGATGTTTTGAGGCTTGGGAGCTGGAGCTGACAGAGGGAGCTCATCCGTGCTCTCCCTGGATTTGAACCTGCAACCTGTTAGTCTTCAGTCCTGCCAGCACAAGGGCTTAACCCATTGTGCCACTGGGGGCTCCATATCCTGGTCAATAGACAGGTGTTATTCTCAACCTTAGAGGGGGTTAGAGCTGTGCCAACTGGGATCCTTACTAACTGAAGATACAAGTGTTTAAACCTGTGATCTTCCAAATGCATCTTCCAAATCCATGAAGGCAGATCTGGCCAGGGTGGTCCATGCCTTAGTCACCTCCAGATTGGACTACTGTAATACGTGAGGCTGCTCTTGAAAACGGCCTGGAAATTTCAATTGGTTTAACGGGCGGCAGCCAGGTTGTTAACTGATGCTCCTTAGAGGGAGCGGTCAACCCTCCTGTTCAAGAAGCTCCACTGGCTGCCATTCCTTTTCTGGTCCCAATTCAAGGTGCAGGTTCTTACCTACAAAGCCTTGAACGGCTTGGGATCTGCCTACCTACCTTGGTGGGGACGAGGGAGAGGGCCTTCTCAGTGGTGGCCCCTCGACTCTGGAACTCGCTTCCCAAGGACATCCGGGATGCCCCAACTCTGGCAATTTTTAGGAGGAACTTGAAAACATTGTTGTTCCAGTGTGCCTTTCCAGAATAATGAATTTCTCAGCAATATGCCCTCAAAATGCATTTTATTATTGATTTAGGATTGATTTGCATTCCCTATCCCCTCCGAAAATTTCCATCCCAGTCATATACTACCTTGCTCATGCCCAGCATTATTTTTTAAATTTTGATTTTACATTTGGCCCAGCCATAGGTTTTAAATGCTTGTTGTGTTATAGTACTGTTTATATTTTATTTTATTTTTGTTTATGGGATGTATTTTAACTGTTTTGTATTTTTTGTTTGCTATTGTTTTATTATTGCTGTGTTGTGGGCTCGGCCTCATGTAAGCCGCACCAGAGTCCCTTGGGGAGATGGTAGCGGGGTAGAAATAAAGTTATTATTATTATTATTATTATTATTATTATTATTATTATTATTATTATTATTTAGATCAAGCATTTGCCTCCCTTTACTATTATAATGCTTGATAAAGCTGAAGACAGTAGGAAAAAAAGGATAGCAGGTGGACAGGTTGCTTCAAGGAAAACATAGACCCAAGTGTGAAATACCTGAATAGGTCTATAACCCACTGAATTCAAAAAAAATTCACCTACTGTAACGATATACCTGTGTCTCTTGCTTGTAAAACTATGTAAATATAAGTGCAATTGTATAATTGTTTACATTGTTTTTATGTTTCACTTTTCAGCCCACTAAAATCCCCACTGAAAATGTTGGATGTTTCTAACTGCTCCTTAAACCATGTAGACATGGCCTATTTGGCCAACAGCCTCCATTCCAATCACTTGGAAGCTCTTGATATCAGTGGGCATGATGTGGCTGATTTGTACCCTTCTACTTTCTTCAAGCTGCTGAACCATTCATCCCACACACTGAAGAGTCTCACCCTCGAGGAATGCAACATCCAGGACACTCATCTGAATATGTTGATTTTGGGGTTGGTCCCCTGCCGGAAGCTAGAAGAGTTCAAGTTCCTTGGAAATCCTCTCTCGTCACGAGCCTTGAAATGCCTTTTCAACATTTTCACCGATTTCCCCAGACTGAAATACATTGAATTCCCAGTTCCGAAAGACTGCTATGCAAGTGACATCAGTTACCCAATCTCTGAAGCGGATCTTTCCAAATTTGATCATCAGAAATATGAGAGCATAGCAGAAGACCTCAACATGATTTTGCTGCAGGCAAAGCGAGATGACATCAAGGCCTCTACGCCCGTCTTTGGAGCTTATGATGCAGCGCTACAAGAAACAGGCAACGAACTAGGAGCAGCCTTGTTGCAGTCTTTCAGGGAAACCATTCAGAGCTTCAGCATGGCTCTTCAAAAAATGAGCTGAAATATGGACCAGACGTATTTTTTAATTCATTTATCAAACCCAAGCATCAACATATTGGAATTGTTTAGTTAGCACATGCTAGTGGGTTTTATATCACTTCTTCATCCAAATGAGAGAGCAGTACAAATGGTTGAGTAAAATGCCTGAGCAAAGGCTCCTCAGAGCAAACAACTGAACTGTATTCTAAAATCTGTACAGTTATACCCCACCGGGTGTGGTCCAAACTTACTAGTTGACCTACATTATCAACTGCACATAATAATCAACAGCATAAGGTTTTCTTTAACACACACACTTACTTGATCCTGTTACAACTTACTGTAACAAGGTTGGCAGTTTGAATCTGGGGAGTGGGGTGAGCTCCTGCTGTTAGCCCCAGCTTCTGCCAACGTAGTATTTTGAAAACATGTAAATGTGAGTAGATCAGTAGGTACCACTCCAGCGGGAAGATAATGGCACTCCATGCAGTCATGCCGGCCACATGACCTTGGAGGCATCTACAGACAACGCCAGCTCTTCGGCCTAGAAATGGAGATGAGCACCAATTCCCAGAGTTGGACATGACTGGATTTAATGTCAGGGGAAAACCCTTACTACCTTTACTCATCCGTTTTTGAAACTAAGTACAACGGAGGCCGTTACACGATGCAAGGAGACTTCCTATCTCTGTCCATGATGTATTGGAAATGTTAAGAAACATTAAGGAGCAAGGGGAGAAGATGGGAGAAATCATCTTCTGAGCTTTGGGTCTGCAAGAAAACAAAAAGAAATGGTGAAAATGCCATGCGATGGGATCTGTCAGATTCAACCACATTGAATCGTTCTGGTGAAATTGGTGAAAGGGCATTTCTATAGGTGGTCTCCTATAAAGCAGTGATGTCCTGGTAGTCTAGCTGCCTGATCCTTGCACTTTTTTAATTCAATGTATTCAGTAGAAAATATCCTACTTCTGAAAATTTTGCTTTTGCTTGATTATAGCCTTTCAAAATTGCACATTTTTCCTGCCTTTTTTTTTTCCTTTTTTAAAAGCTAAAGTTAGTGATCCATACAAAAACCATTGAGGGGGAGAGTAGAAGAGCCCATGGAGAGAAATGGAGTCTGCCTTAACTGCACTCCGTCATTTGAGAAATCTGAAAATGGATAATTTTGGGAGATAATAATAATAATAATAAAATTTATTTGTATCCCGTCACCATCTCTCAGAGGGACTTGGGCGGCTCACAGAACACTCAAGGTGTAATATGCAAAATACAACAACTGCAAAACAAAACATAAACAATAAACTGTTGACATAACATCACAATTTCACAAGAAAGGCAAGAAACAACACCGTGTGATGGGTTCTGATAAATTTTACAATTTAGTTTTTAATGCAAAGGGACTAAACACCATGGTAATACGACACTTTCCTCCTCTCATGGGATGAGGTCCTAAGGCAGGGGTTCTCAAAGTGTGAGTCCCCAGATGTTTTGCCCTACAACTCCCAGAAATTCCAACCAGTTTACCAGCTGCTAGAATTTATGGGAGTTGAAGTCCAAAACATCTGGGGACCCACAGGTTGAGAACCACTGTCTTAAGGAAATCTACCCAATCTGTCTTCTGTTGCCTTTCTTTACCTTGCCCAGCATCTAGAAGGACCTCCAGCACATCTACATAAAAACTGCCTAGTTGGTCATCTTTTTCCACTGACAAAGGAGCCTAGAAGTATTACAATGAAGTTGTAAGAATCTTACTTTTTTGTTATTCCTGCTCCCAGCAAACATAGCAAGAGTGAAATGAATTATTCTCAGATCACTTGGTGAGATCCATTTGTGAATATGCTAACCATCTTCATTACATCTCAAGTTGCACACTATAAGGCCTGGTACTCCTCACTATCATCAGCCTGATTTTTATAATATCTTGCCTAAGGAAGAGATCTGTAGATTTCAAAAGGTTGCACACATTTTGGTACTATTCTGGTTGGCCTAATAAAGGCATTTTCATGATGTGGTTTCTATGTACCTACATCTCTGCTTTGATGAACGGGCTCTTGGATCTCTCATAGATGGGAGTTGCTGCGGGTCAAAAGTTTTGTCAGGTGAAAAAAAATGCTTCAACTCACATTTTTCTGTTTCTGCATTAATTTTACACAGTGGTAAAACAAAATGAGAATAGCATTATGAGCCACGGGTTTTCCATGTGGATCTCACTTTGGTTTTAAAGGGTAGTCCTGCAATAATAATGTATGTTATATTTCTCTCTTTTTTTATTTATCGTGTCAGGAGCAACCAGACATTTGTATTACATTTTTAACAAAAACAAAAAAACAGACAGACAAAACACAGAATTTGCAAGCTTGGTAGTTGATTAAATGTCCTTTGACCAGTATCTGGCCACTTGGAGTGCCTCTGGTGTTGCCGCAAGAAGGTCCTCCATTGTGCATGTGGCAGGGCTCAGGTTGCATTGCAGCAGGTGGTCAGTGGTTTGCTCTTCTCCACACTCGCATGTTGTGGATTCCGCTTTGTAGCCCCATTTTTTCAGAAGGTTGGCTCTGCATCTCGTGGTGCCAGAGCGCAGTCTGTTCAGCGCCTTCCAAGTTTCTGTGTGCCCAGGGGGGAGTCTCTCATTTGGTATCAGCCATTGATTGAGGTTCTGGGTTTGAGCCTGCCACTTTTGGACTCTCGCTTGCTGAGGTGTTCCAGCTAGTGTCTCTGTAGATCTTAGAAAACTATTTCTTGATTTAAGTCGTTGACGTGCTGGCTGATACCCAAACAGGGGATGAGCTGGAGATGTCACTGCCTTGGTCCTTTCACTATTGGCTGCTACTTCCTGGCGGATGTCAGGTGGTGCAATACCGGCTAAACAGTGTAATTTCTCCAGTGGTGTAGGGCGCAGACACCCCGTGATAATGCGGCATGTCTCATTAAGAGCCACATCTACTGTTTTAGCATGGTGAGATGAGATATTTCTCATTACAGTAGATGATTATTGCTTATCCAACCTTCACTCATCCAATGTTCTGTATTATCCAAAGCAGTCTTCCTCCCACCCAGATCCACAGCTATTTCAATACATTGCAATGTTTTGGTGCTAAATTCATAAATACAGTAATTACTATATAACGTTACCGTGTATTGAACTGCTTTTCTGTGATTTGTTGTAAAACATGATGTTTTGGTGCTTAATTTGTAAAAATATACGTTTAATAGGCTTTTCCATAATCGCTCCTTATTATCCAACATACTCGCTTATCCAATATTTTGCCGGCATGTTTATGTTGGATAAGTGAGGCTCTATTGTATTTCTGGCCAGATAGCTATGGTCACTCCTGTTATCCCCTCCTCCCAGGGGCGGCTCAACCCATTACGCAAAGTAAGCATTTGCAGTATAGTTGATTTTGCCCAGGGGTGCTCTTGAGGCGCTCTTGGGGGAAAATAGACCTTGACATATGCAAGCTGTAGTTACTGGGATGTATAGTTCACCTACAATCAAAGAGCATTCTGAACTCCACCAATGATGGAATTGAACCAAATATGGCACACAGAACTCCCATGACAAACAGAAAATATATATCAGTGATTGGTTGGGGGAGGGGAGGCAAAATACTGTTTGCTTACCATTGAAAATTACCTAGGGCCGCCTCTGCCTCCTCCCCAATGCATGTGAACATATGAAGTGCAGCAGCTGGTATTTAAATGTTGATAGATGAAGTTCTGCTAATATTACTATGCAATCATCTGTAAAAATGCGGCTTACATAAATAATGGTGACCATAGCTGTACAAACACATAATCAATGAGGACAGTCACAATGCTGAGGACCAGGACGAAAGTGAGCATATACACGGACAGCTTAACAGATAATTATGTTGGTTTTTATTTTGTGTCAGCAGTGACTTGAGAAACTGCAAGTTGCTTCTGGTGTGAGAGAATTGACCATCTGCAAGGATGTTGCCCAGGGGATGCATGGATGTTTTGATGTTTTGACTTCCTTGTGGGAAGCTTCTCTCATGTCCCCGCATGGGGAGCCAGAACTGACAGAGGGAGCTCATCCACGCTCTCCCCGGATTCGAACTTGCAATCTGTCGGTCTTCACTCTTGCCGGCACAAGAGTTTAACCCACTCCACCACTGGGGGCTGATGGGGTGCAGAAACAAAATATTCTTCCCAGACACTATAAAATCCTGCTAATATCTTGCTAAATGTGTGCTTGAGTCAATTACTGGTGAACAAAATGATCATTATTTCTAATTATGCCTCCAGTCACTTCCTTAACGAAAAGGAGAGGGCACCGCATATAAAGTAGGAGGGTCTGCATAGGGATCTGATTTTAAATGACATTGTTCCCTGAGTCATCATTTAAACCTAAGCAAAGAGGAAGGAAAGGTGGGGTGGCTGTTAGAAGATACACAGAGGAGTAGAAACAAAATGTCACATAGATTTTTAAGGGCAGAAATAGTTTATTGGTTCACCTCAGAGAACAGCACTACTTGGATGGGAATTAGGAACATGCCCATATTTTCTATTTGTAATATGCTGCCGGGATTGTTGCAGAAAAATATCTAAAATGTTTTTCAAATAGTATTCATATACTGAAGCCCATCACATGTCCTCTTGCAGCTGGGTGCTTAAGCATGAAAAAAAATGTTGTTTATTTGTTCAATCACTTCCAACTTTTCGTGACCTCATGGACCAGCCCACGCCAGAGCTCCCTGTTGGCCATCACCACCCCCAGCTCCTTCAGAGTCAAGCCAGTCACTTCAAGGATACCATCCATTCATCTTGCCCTTGGTTGGCCCTTTCTTTTTCCTTCCATTTCCCCCATTTCCAGCATCATTGTCTTCTCTAAGCTTTCCTGTTTTCTCATGATGTGGCCAAAGTACTTCATCTTTGCCTTTAATATCCTTCCCTCCAATGAGCAGTCGTACTTTATTTCTTGAAGTATGGACTGGTTGGATCTTCTCGTTGTCCAAGGCACTCTCAGAACTTTCCTCCAGCCCCACAGTTCAAAAGCATCTATCTTTCTTCGCTCAGCCATCCTTATGGTCCAGCTCTCAAATCCGTAGGTTACTACGGGGAATGCCATTGCTTTAACTATGCAGATCCTTGTTGCCAGTGTGATGTCTCTACTCATCACTAATATCCTTCCCTCCAATGAGCAGTCAAAATAA